TTATATGAAGTTTGGTGTGAGGTCCTTCAAGGATTCAGAATTATTAGTTCAGATGCAGATGTAATGCAGGTGTGAGACTGTAAACTCATCAGGGCTACTAGGGTGATGAGTCATGTGAGCAGTATGCTGATTTTTCCATAAACATCTTTAAAAGCATCTTTTTCAATTCATTTCCATTCTCTTTCTACTATGAAAGAGGTTAAATGCAGAATGGTGTGTAAACACAGTAAGTGAAAAAAGCTGAGAGAAGAGGAAATGATCAGTGCATCATGGGAAGCCTCATAAAGAAGAGGGCCCTGAAAGCTGAAGACTCTGCCTCCCATTCTACTTTTAAATATCGTAGGAACCAGAAGTAAGCCTGCAGTCTGAGAGAGATGTGCTCTATTGGGGTGATATGGTTGTATCAGGTCTTTAAGATAAGATTGGCCCTAGTTATTCAAGAAGGAAAATAATTTTAAATTCAATTCTGGATATAACAGGAAGTCAGTGAAGAGAAGCCAATATAGTGCCTGTCAGTTCTCTTGCATTTTAGATCAACTGAAGATTTCTTGAAGATAAGTATTAATGGAGGCCAAGGTAGTGCCATCCGCAGTAGCTAGCTGGTAGCTGTTTCTAGGATTTTTAGGACAGAGTACAATAACTTTAGTTCTGACGTTTTTAGGAAGGAAATTGGATAAAGCTCTGTATCATCCATAGTATAGTAATAAAAATGTCTGCTATTGTCACGGTTCTAGGTCAGTTTTGACCCAGTATTTTAAGTTCTCATGTTTTGGTGTGATTTTGCATTATAGATTCTTTTCTTATTCTCTTGTGGTGCTTTTGTTGATTATTATTATTATTATTATTATTATTATTATTATTATTATTATTATTATTATTATTATTATTAATCTATGTTTCAGTTATTCTTGTTCAGGGATTAGTTCTTAGTTTTGTGTTCTCATGTTTATTGCAGGTTTAGTTCAGTGTCTAGTCTGTCTCTCTCCGTCTAGTCCGTGTCTTTGTTTAGTGTGTCTTGTTTGCTGTTTTACTTTGAAGGTTCATGTTCATGTTTGATGTCAGTGTTTCCAGCTTCGCTCCCCCTGTCTCGTTAGCCCTAATCTCTCCCAGCTGTGTCTCCCTCCTGTTTTCCATTCCCTGATTACTCCCCTGTGTATATTAGCCCTGTGTTCGCTTTTGTTCAGTGTCGCGTCGTGCCGTCAGACTTGCCTGTGTGTTTCAGTTTCCAGTGATTCAGTGTCAGTTCATGTTTTGTTTTGTTACCAGCAATAAAGCTGAGGTTTTTGAGTTTCAATTCAGTGTCCAAGTCCTGCATTTGGATCCTCCTGTCCGTCTGCCCGCACACAGAGCTCTGACAGCTATGCCTTCTAATAATACTACCTATGGCAGGCATGTTATATGGACCCTCGCTTTTACCTTAAAATGCATTATTTGTTGTCTGCCTCCACAAAAAGAATTAATAAAGTGTAATTCTCTTTCCACCTAGAGTGGCAGCACCATCTAATCTCGTGTCAATGGAAAATTGTATTTAGTAGTCAGTATAATCTTTTAGTGATATAAGTTTGCATATGGTAGAATACTGCATGTAGTTATTTGTATTAGGAAATATTCAACCATGTATACTTAGAGGCATATAATTAATTGTGTGTGATCTTTAACAGGCTGCAAAGGCTTGGTGTGTATTCCACACTAGAATGCACACCCACATCCTGGGAGCACGAGAGAGGTCATACCTTCTCTTATTGTTTTATGGTAGGATTAACGTAGCTATGTCTGTTTTAGTCTAAGTGCTTTAACTGCTGGACTTCCTCACCGTGCCATCTAGGGTGGGGGAGACTACCCTCTTTATGACCAAGGATGTACCTTTTGTGCTTTCATGTTATATGACCCTTTGATCAGCAGGACACACACACACACACACACACACACACACACTGAAGTATAAATAAAGACCGGGGCAGTTTCTTAGTGCGAGTCTCTCAGTAGGGAGCTGCCCTTGCTAGCAAGAACTCTGTGTGTTTCTCTTCTCTGAGTCTTTACTGAAGAAGTGTTTTAGAATATTTTCCCTAACATCTGGATTATATAATATATAATCATTTATTGGTTGAAAACCAACTGTGGCTAAATTCTGCCATGGCAGCTGTAAAAAAGAAAAGCTGATACTGAAGGCTGCTATCAGGGAGGGACTCTGCTGAAAAAGTAAAGCAACTTAAACCTGGCTTGAGTTCTTCAGATAAATGTAAATAAATTTGGCCAGAGCTGCCCCGTCCAAAGTGGGATGAGGCTCGTCTTTCCTAACAGACCAGGTTTTTCCCCAAAAGTTTCCAAATTATCTATGATATCAACATCATCCTCAGACAGTCAGTACTTTAAGGAGAAAATATGGCTTAATATGTCATGTCACAGAAAAAACTACAGTGCAACATTGATTTGGTTTCACCCTTATTCAATTTTAGTCTTAGTGACCTCTGATTACAGTAATCAGGTGTCATTACTGCCAACATGAATTTTATTTGACCAAATTTACATTTTATCCTTACCCCATAGTTTCAGATTTCCTTGATGTTGCCAGCTTTGGCCCTTGGGAGACAATTGACTGGCTGCTGGTGTCTCTGGATGGGGTGGCTGTAGCTCAGAAAGTAGAGCAGGTTGTTTACTGGTCAGTGGTTCGATCATGGCTCCCCCTAATCTGCATGTCAGATATCCTTGTGCAAGATATTAACGCCAAGCTGTTCTCCAATGCATCCAATGGAGTATGAATGTGTATGAATGGTACTTAGTAAGCAGTGAAAAGCTCAGAAGGAAGTACTTTTGTGATTGAGTGAATGTGGTATGTTGTACAGAGGAGAGTAGAAAACCGCTCTATAAGAATTGGTCCATTTACCATCTAACATTATGTTTCTCAAAACAGATTGTCCAATAACCAGAGCTTGATCCTTAGCCGGTGTGTCACAGAGTGGGGAAAATGTATTTGAGGTTTGAATGGGTTGGTGGAAGATGCTTGGGACAATTTACTGGGGGAGAGTTAACAGTGGCTAAGCTGCCTTGTAATTCACTGACAGCAGGGGCCTGGCTAGCAATGCTTCTTCAGGGTGTGGAGCCAGTATTCCAGTTCAGCAGAGAGTCGTCTTTGGGTAATGTCAATATTACACCATGGAAAAAATAATCTAACATTTTTTAATTAAGCAGGCTACACAAAATACTACTGTGCGCTGTAGCAGGAAGGGGAAGTAGTATAATCCCACAGTGATAGCCAACAGCATGTAAGATGGCCACCAATAGATCACCCCAGTAGAATGACCTGTTTGTGGATCAGGTGCCTCACCTTCTGCTAGCAGTTAGGAAGAATGCATGTTCCATTAGTTTCGCTCAAAGACCTCTTACTAAATTTCGATTGGTATTCCCAGTTTTATCAGTTGCACCAGTGTCCTTGATCCAGTCTTTTAGTGAAGAACATTTCTAGACAACATACTTTTTTTTTCCCTTCGTAAATTTAAAATCTCATAAATTTGAAATTTTCTCTTGAAATTTTCTGTCTTTAAAATTAATTCTGAAAAAGAAAATTTCTTGTGAATTTATGACTTGAACCTTTTGATTCTCACCAACCACCAATGACCCATTTGACTCTGGAGCATTTTTCTTCTGTTCTTTTTTTGTTAAGAAAGAATAATTCTGGCATTTGTAAGTGACTGTAACACCCAGCATCATGTTTACTTATTGTAGTATTGCATTTGCTTGAGTAAACTTTTTGTATGTTTGACTTGGTTTAACTTTGTACAGCGATGACTGTTGGGACATACTGACATTTTCAGCAGTCCTTGGTGCATTGATAGCGTCACACGATGAGAAACAATCTCATTGGCTTTCATTAGGCACTGATGATAAAGGTCACACTGGGTTTAGTTTGTATGTGTGACCTTTACCGTGGCTCCAACAGTGAAAGAGCCTAATAGCTAGAGCTTTGGTACAACAACCTTTCTAGTTTACATTTAACTGCTCTATCCGGTCGTTAAGTGATGACGTGACGAATCCTACTTCCGGGCCTAAAGTAGTCTGCGTTTAATATGGCTTTCGTGTTGTTAACATGTTTAATGTTTTGTATTTTCTTCTATTTAATCTCAAAAAGCTCATGTTTATGTTATGCTAACATAGCTGTGTCGCTAGCGGTCACGTAGCACATCATTATATACCAGTTAGCCAAACTTCAGTAACCCTACAAATGTCACTGCTGTTTAGTTTTCTGTCTTCATTTATGTTGGAAGTGATAACAGAGCTGTACGTTTGAATTTGTTTCCAAAACCCCGCAGTCAGGACATGCTATATTGTATTTAGATAGAAGCAAGCCAGCTAACTGCCTGCTAACTTCTAACTCTGTTGGATGCCTGGATGTTAAACTCAATTGTTACACCTGGTAGAGCAGAACGCTGATCATTCTATTAGAGATGAAAGACTTTATACAACTCTCAGTAATGCCATAGTGATCGTTTGATATATGGACATGCAGCGGAGTTTAGGCCCAGACACGGCTAGTGACGTCAGACTTAATGACTGGATTGGACAACTATTTGTGTAGGATTTAGCTGCATGGAGATAAACAGGAATTAAAAATCAGTCTAAAACATCTGATATCAAGTGGTTATTGTCTGATAGAACTTTTTTTGTTTTATTTCATCTACATTTTTAAACAATAACTTGTGGACGGCAATGTTAGTCCTTACCAAAAAAAGAAAATAGAAATGCAAAATACAAATTGTAAATGGTGGGCTTACTATGTAACACACAATATGTTGAAAAATCTAATAGGCTAATGCTGAGACTTCAAAATAGGAACTTCAGATTACAGATCTAATAAGGATTAATGTATCATTATTAGATCTGTAATCTGAAGTTCAAAAAGTATTGATCTTGATCTTCAACACTACATATCATTAGTGAAATAAACTGTGTGTAATAATTTTAAAGTTAAAAAAAACACATCTGCCTCCATCAGTCTGCATTTCCTAGAGACTCATTTTACACAACAAATACCTTTTCAGATACTTCCTGTAAGTTTTGTCTCTTACTCCATAGACTATTGGACTAATTGCTCGTGGCAGGATCTGGAAGAGAATATAACAAGCAAAAAGGGAGTCTGAATAATTTTGAGGAAACCACTGCTGCAGGACTTGCCTCAGCAAAGGTTCAGCATATATTGACATACACAACAACACCTGAAAACCATGGAGAATAATTGTATTTCTGGCCTTTGTAGCATCTTGACTTGCTGCTTTTGCAGTGAACAGGATTTTGAAGTAAGTAAAAAAGATAATAAACCAGACAATAACCAGATAGACTATATAGGTGATATCTCTCTTCTTGATGATGTGGGGATTTCGAAAGACTGTTTCTCTGAGGCAAAACACACGAGAATTATAGAAATCCAGTGGTTCTATGGCCAAGGTGATGAAGAGATCAGGAAGAACAGACAGCATGCTGGTCATCCAAATTAAACCAATCAACATTAACGTCCTTTTGACCGTGCAGATTTGGACATGACGAAGAGGGATGCAGATGGCAATGTAGCACTCCACTGCCATGCAAGCCAGATTCAGAGGGGTGTTTTCAGTGGCAAAAAGAGCAAGCAGGATGAGCACACAACAGACAGAGACATTTATCTGGAAGAAGATGTAGCTGCTGATAAACAGTATGACGGTCAGTGTTACTTGGATCATATCGTTAAGTACCAGGTGGAAAAACAGGATGTAGCGTGGATTCATGTAAAAGATCTAAAGAATGGGAAGAAAATCACACAAAAGTAAAGAAAAGTAAAAGCAATTAGTACTTACATTAGAAAAATGAGTGAATAATGGAACTAAGACCTGCTGTATAATACATCAGCCATATTGTTTGGAATAACACTGATAAAAAAAAATAGGTAAACAAACACACAAAACAATCCAACAACCTCAAAAAAAAAAAAAAAAGGAAATGGTGCAAAAAATTTTTTTTTATTCCATGTGATTAAAGAAATGTCATACCTGTTGTTTGCAGAAAGTTTGAAGAAGTGCTACATTGATGTAGTTAATGGAGATGCAGAAAACCACAACAATCACATTCTTGACCATAGCTTTGGGGAAAGCATCTCGATAGTTTACAACCACAGTCTCATTGGTATACGAAGCGCTCATCTCTTAGAAGCTGAAAAACATGTTTTTAAATATATCATGTTAATGACCCAAAATAAATCCTTTACCTGAGATTTAATGAATCTTTTAAGATTGATTATTTTATCATTTTTAAATCAGTAATTGTTAGATCCTGTTAAAGCTGGTGTGGCAAAACAACCCAGCAGTGACAGAAACACTTTAGAAGCGATCGACAATTGTCTCTACTATTTATTTTTATTTTATATAATTTTGTAATAAACTACAGGTCAAGATGTTTACTACTGTTACTGTTGAGATTAAAGGTATTTTAGTTTTCATTATTATTTTTTTACGGAAGATTATTTTGTTTTGTCTTTCTATGTTGAAAAAATTAAGGTGCAAAGTATCATTCAAGAGTTTTCAAGTTTAAATGATGTCTTGCTATGTTATATTTTGACTTTTGTAACTTAGCTTTAGTTACCTATAATAACCTTTTGTTAGGAGAAGAAACTGAACTTTTTCCTTTTCAAAACGAAACAGAAAAAAGTACTCACCCAAGTTTGAGGATCGAATAGAAAGATAAAAATCAGTGCACAGCCATCTAGAATTAAAAACAAATACAGCATAATCGCGCAGCTAACCTGCACGGCAAAAAGGATGATCCGTCTGTCTGTTAGAAAAAGCATGATTCATGAATAACATCGTGCAATATTAAACTTACCTTTGCAAAACTAAGACAATTAGATGTTCAGTCTTTTAAACTTTACATATGTTATTCAAATTATTTAAACAAAAAAGCTATTTGATTATTAACCATTTTTAATGAATGAATGGAACAAACTCAGACGCGTTTCCCTGGACTTGAATAAGTGCATGTCCTGCAACAGAAAACAACAATCACATTAGACATTTATTTAGAAAATACCAACAATGAGAGTTTGGCAGCAGATCTCACATCTGTTACTATTTCACCCTAATATGGTTTTTTTGTATAATGTAAATATCAGCTATGTCTAAAAACAGTCAAAGTCACAGTACAGCTAAAAGATTTTAAAGTATCGTGAATGCATTAAAGTATTTTAGTAATTCATTTATACATTAACAAATTGCAAGCGATGCAGTGCCTACCTGAGTTTATTATGCATTTAGATCCCTACTGTAACACAACATCAGACTTTATATATTGGTTGGTTGGAGGTCCTTTAAGGATTGAAGGTTGTGTGTACAGGTGCAATGTACTGCAGGTTGGCACATGCATGCATGCAGTGATTTTTCTTTTTTCCTTTTTGTGACAGGCATGCCTGGAGTAGCTTCGCATAGATGTCCAGTTTTTTACAATCTAACCAAAAGCCTATTTTGACAGCCAAAAATTCTTCTGCTCAGGAAAAAACAAAGTGGCTGTAAAAAAATGTTTATTATGTTCATTATAAGTAATAAATCCAATGAGCAGTATGCTAATTGCTCTACAGAATTCTTTACAGAGGTTTCTCCACATGCGCCCTGCTAACTGTTAAAAGAGAAACCATAAGAACACACTGAGTTTAAAATCTATAAAATGCACTTTATTGTTACACCAATGAAATAATATTAGCCAGTAAATCTTATCTCACTGTTAATTAATCAGCGTAATTCTGTTTTTTATTCTAAGTACTTCATAAATGATTCAATCCAACACATACAGATAACAAACAATTTCTTTTTACAACGACAAGCAATTTGAGACTTTCTTCCAGTTTCTAATATTAGAGAAAATATCTTAGCCAGCACCTCCTCACATTCTTATCAAACTAGCAAAAACTGAAACTGAGTTTCAGTCCTTTTTTAGTCTTTTCTGATTTCATTGCTGCTATTGATCTTGACATTTTCATCTAAAGGCTTCAAGCTTTAGTTGGTGTAACAGTTTAGTTTCTTTTTCTTGCCATCATGTCTAATATGTTGGATTTGCAGAGATATAAATTCAATCAGGGGTTCCCGAAGGGTCAGTTCTTGATCCATTACTCTTTGACCTTTACTCATAATATATCCGACCATTCTTATGCAGACGACACACAGTTATATTGATCATATTTCTCTGATCTTACTTCTGTTCACAAATTAAGCAGCTACACTGGTGACATTAACTGGTGGATGTCTAGAAACACTAGGTCATGCATTTATTCTAGGAGGGACTGTTGTAATTCATTACTATTAATTATTATCATTACTATTCTCTAAAATGTCATCTGTCAATCCAAAATGATGCACTGAGAGTACTGACATGGATTAGGGAGCATATTTTTCCCATACTGGCTTCCCTTTACTGGCTCCCTGTTAAATCCAGAATCCTTCTCTTTTAGGATCCAGGCTTGCTGGGGTTTTGCTGTCCTTGGTTAGGAAGAGGTCAGTGTCTAGATGTGGCCATGAGGTTTCCCTGGCACACCGAAGGACTGTCTGCGTCAATCAGGCTCTTTTATTTAAGGAGTGGTGTAACAGCTATTCCTCGATTGATCTTCGTTTGTTGTTACATTCTAACTCGAAGTCAGACAAAGTTGTAATCTGGACTCTCTGCATTTCCTCCTTACCAGCCCTCTATCCAGCTCGCAGGCTTTTCCAGGATCTTCCAGAAAGACTTCTGCCAAAACTTTTTTTTTTAACCTTCAACACCCTTATTTGCCAATGTAAACTCAGCACCGCTTACCTGGACACCTCTACATCTGTAGCCAACCATGTCTCCTACACAGGCCCCAACTGAGCCTTTTGTAAAAGTGTAATGAGTATGTTCCACAATCAGTAAGATTCTCTCTAAATATTCAGACTATTTTCTCGTTAAGCTCTTGCCAGTCACTAACTGCCTAAGGCAGTCACTTAGTGGCATCACTGTAAATGAAGCATTTTGACTGCACTGTGTGTTTGAGTTGGTCTGCTCTCTGTGTCCACCTTAGTGACACATGACATCCTCAATATCATAATCAGACTCCATCTCATCTTAAAGACAGTATCACCCCACTGGAGCACTTTGTTCTCAGACTGCTGGTTTACTTGTGGATCGAGAGTATTTAAAAGTAGAATGGGAGGCAGAGCCTTCAGTTGTCAGGCCCCTCTTCTATGGCAGCAGATTCCAGTTTGGATTCAGAAGGCCAACACCTTCTTTACTTTTATGCTTTAGCAAAGAGGAAAGTTTCAAGCCTATACTATAGTTAGGGTTGGAGCAGATGGCCATGAACCCTCGCTTAATTCAGCTGGAAAAGGCATAGGCTGATGAGGGCTTCCCATGATGCGCTGAATGTTTCTTTATGACTTACTATGCGTTTATACACAATGTTGCATTTAATAATTAGTTATCATTAAATTCAGATTCTGTGTCGTGTTTCCTGTCGCTCTCACTCTCATTTTCCCCAACTACCTACTGATCACACCAGACGCTTCTCCTCCCTGAGTTGGGGATGTTCTCTTTTATTGCAGAGCCTTTACCTCATAATAAATTAAATACATTGAGGCAACTCTTTCTGTTATTCAGCTGTAATTTGACACTTAAAAAACATCAAAAGTTAGAAAGTTCTTATCTCAAGACGACTCTAACATCGCGTCGTTACAGTTACCAATTACCACATCCAGAAGTTGTAGTACCAGCATACGTTCAGCATCAGCAGGGAGAGATAAAGTATTTTAAGCCAAGAAGATGCTAGTGAACAAGGAAGGTTCCATCTATCTGGACCATGTGCAAACTGATAATATTCTTTTTTAGGGCTGTCAAAATTGAGAACAATCAAAACAACTGCTGTATAATGCCCTGCGCTATTTTTGGTTAATTGGTCACATGACTCCATCACATGACTTAAATGCGTCATTGTTTTAGAAAGTCTGTGTTCTCGAGTGTCCACGCTGCGCCGCTGCTCAGTTTTGAAATGTATGCGTTTTCGAGAGCATTTTCAAAACGCTGCGTTTTTCCTTGAGGAAAACGCCGTCTCAGTCTGGACTGGAGACCCTTTTCAAACGAAAACGCATTAGTGTGGTTGTAGCCTAAGGCAAACAGGTCCACCAAGGATGCAATTTCCCCTGCCCATCTCTCTGTTTTGCATCACCTGGAGAATCTTGGGAATTCAGTAAGGATGTTCTTCACTGATTTCAGATTGGCTTTTAATACCATTATTCCAGAAATCCTTAAATATCAAATCAAATGAAAATGTATTTCTATAGCACATTATAATACAACAAAGTTGACCAAAGTGCTTCACAGTCGGTCAGAGCAATAGCATAAGACAACAATAGGGGTAAACGGCATAACTAGCCACGAAATAACCAACTAGTTTGAATCCTAAGCTCAGAAGAAGATCAATAAAAACCCAAAGTGTGCTGTCTTAGTGCTATGGCGAGGTCTAAATTTAGACTGAAATTTTTCATTGATACCATTAGTGTCAGGAAAGGTCTGAAGTTGTTTTATTGACGCTTTTTCCAGAATTTTGGATATAGGAGGGAGTTTGGAGATCAGTCTGTAATTAGTTAGAGAACTAGGGTCAAGATTGTTTTTCTTTATAATGGGTTGAAAGACAGAATGCTTAAATACTGACGGTACACAACCTAATGACAGTGATAGTTTCAGTAAAAGTTGGATACAGGGACCAATAGTGGGCATATCTTCCATAAGGAAATGAGAGGGAAGGATATCATGGGAGAGATTAGAGATTTTGAGATGATCAGTTATAGCTATTAAATCAGAATAAGACAGTGGCTCAAACTGTTGAAAGCCAGTCAAGCATTCAGGGACTGGGTCAGAAACTAACAATGACTGAGATGAGAGAGATGCTCTCAGAACTGAAATTTTGTCATTTAAAAAGCTTGAAAAATTTTCAAAAAGTACAGGGGACTATCTCAGTGAGATAGCTTATATAATCCAGTGGGAAAGCCTCTGTTTAGACAGCTCTACTTCTAGTTGGATAAGCAAAGCAGACAAACAGCTGGTAGCATAAACATACATTCTGAGTGCGCTCAATGTAGGTGCGTAGCACAAGCACTGGACAAAGAATGCATCCTCCTTTACTCCTCAGATGTAAAAGGAGGGGAGC